ATGATGTCTGCCTCCGCGCACAAAAATGAGATGGGCATCACTGCCAACGCCGACGGCCAGAAAGGCCCGCGCATCTACATTTTCCCGCCTGACCCCATCAGTGCCGACCCAACTCCACCACCACACGCACGCCTCGCGGCGGATGCGCAGCAGCAAGAAGGTTTCGGTCATCCCTTGAGGGTGAGTCTAGCCCTGCTCGCCAGAAAGACCCCCCCCTTCGCTACAACCCATGTCTAAGCAAAAGCTTGTCGGGGAGCGAGGGGAAGAAGGGAGAGCTATAATGTGCCTTATTTTTCATTAGTTTTCATCGTGATATGGTACGCACATATTTTTCGTTGACAGGTTTAAACCCGTACTTTTCGGCCTGGTATTCAAACGCAAGTTAGTTTCAAAGCTTCCCTCAGTTTTTCTTTTAGTGGGACTATAGGGATACTAGGGAATATGCCTACAAATTCAAACGTTTTAAATACATGGGCATCGGTGCATCCCTCCATTTGTGCCTGAATGTCAACATCTTGTGCAACATAAGACGCAAGGTACGCTCGGCGTAATGCTTGAAATGCTGGGTGCAGTTCAGCTGTGATACCAATATGATGCCCTACATATCTTACCATGCGTAGCATGTTTTTGGTTGCTAGCGCCTTGATGCAGGTATCTACCTTGTACGGCTCAAACTTGATGAGCTTAGCAAGATACTGAATGAAGTCGTCGTTTACAGTCACGTGATCCGTGCATGCGTTTTTGGGTACCGTCGTTTGCTTGCGTCTTGTATGTAATTCGTTCTTGGGGTGGGAACATCTGCAGAGAATGATTTCCTCGCAGCTAAGTTGACGCAGCCGTTGATATTAGGAGGTAAAGTACATTATCATGCATGCATTAAAACGCAGTCTACGGGGTCGAACAACTTGATACAATTCCTCGACACCTCTCCGACCATGAGAAACTAACTTCGTGTACACAGGCTACAAAGTCGTAAGTGTTGTATTGCCCCAACAAACGGTCGACGTCCCCCGGGCCCCTCGCGCACGCCAACATACATGGACCGCCCACATTTATGTAGAAGAGAACTTCTTACGGTCTGTCTGTGCTACAGATTATGAACAGTATGCTGAAAGGAAAGATTTGCTAGCCTAGCACAAACAGCCCCCTGCTTCTACTTGGCGCTGCGATGTGTGTGTGTGTTCGTGTGTTGTATTATGCCTTTACTACTACTAATAAAATCGACAGCTCTAACCAGCTAACCAACGAAAACACGGTAGTGTCAGTGCGGCCATGGTCTGGGAGGGCGCCATGGGGGAGGCTAAGCTACTCTCCAGATTAAAGACAGAGACGGTAGCTTTAGCAGAAAGTTGCACGTGTTTATCCAAGGCTGCTACTTTGCATATGTGTTCGTTGCGGAGTGCTTTCATCATATTTGCACCATCCCCGTTGCACCCCCGTCCCCCTCGGTGTTTGCCATCGGGGTTGGGTTTTCGTCGCTTGGCAACGACGTTGTAAAACAAGCC